AATCTTTTTCTCAAAATAGAATGACTTCAAAATTTCATGATTTTTTGAAAATACGAACAACTTTGGTATTTTTTTATTTTTCTTATAATGCTGAGAAATATCAATTTTTTTATTCTCTTTTGTAATTTTGTGAAATTGTTTCAGAAAAGTTAACATATTTTGAAATTCAGATCAGTTTTGAAAATATGAACACATCTTGAAATTTTTATTTTTTTGAAGTTCTGAACATTTTTGCCAGCAATTATAGAACATCCATTCCTTCCCACTTTTTTGCATCGTTGCCACATCCAGGATATGCCACACCTGCGGCATTGCTTGCCGAACAAATCGGTCTTGGCATCTACAAAATTTATGAAAAGTGTCCTCTCATTCGAAGCCGCGGGATCGGGGCAAGTGCCAGTGATTGTCATGTGCCGACCATGCTTATTTGCCCGAGTAGCAAGAGAATTTGAAGCTAAACACCGATCAAAGACGCTCAGCCTTTGGAGGAGCAGGGCGCCTCCATATGAATGCCCAAACGACACGTCGCCCACCTGGTGTCCTGCTCCGCCACAATCGAAGAATGCCTGCTTCGCTCTTCCAGCACCAACCGGTACGCGCTTTTGTAACGACGAAGACCTCGTTTTTCTCCGGTCCCCAAGCAATTACGTCGGGTCGAGTCTTATGGAAGCTTTGATCTTAATGATCTCCTCTACATCAAATTGGCAGGAATATTTGCCAGAGAAGCTGGGTGTTCCACACACCATGAGGTCTGCCCAGAGTTATTTTCAAGCGGCCATGAAAGTGCGGAAAGGAGCTTACATACATATTAGACTTTGAAAATCTAGATTTTTTTTTCCAAACACTTTTGTCAACTCTTAGACAAAATCTTTGCAAGTTGCAACCTCCATGTGGCAAAAGAAGGCTTGGACGTGAAGGCAGAGGAAACCGTGTGGACCTGTCACCTGTGGAGTAGGAGTAGGACCTACGTACCAGGGAGGGAACTTTAACCGAAACACCACGGAGATTTCCGGGAACCACACAAGAGGACTAGACCCCTCCTCCTCCTCCTCTGCTCTCCCGATTCCATCCCCAATCCTGCGAGAGACGGCGGCAATTCGACCCTGAGACAATCAATCCCAGCGGCCCAATCGAAGCAGCACCATCGTCAACCTCGAGAGGCGATTCGACCGATCTCGCGCGCGGAGGCGGAGGCGGAGGGAGCGATGAAGAAGATCTTCGGCGCCAAGAAGAGCCAGGACCCGCCGCCGTCCATCCAGGACGCCACCGACCGGGTACGCAGCCCATCTTCGCTTCGGTTCTGTGGTAGCCAGGGTTGGATTCGACCCTCGATCCTCATGGAATGAATCCATGGCAGATATACAAGCGGGGGGACACGGTGGACGACAAGATCAAGAAGCTGGACGCGGAGCTGGCGCGCTACAAGGAGCAGATCAAGAAGACCAGGCCGGGCCCCGCGCAGGAGGCCGTCAAGGCGCGCGCCATGAGGATCCTCAAGCAGCGCAAGATGTATGCACCACTATCTCAACCTGCTACAAACCCCAACTCTGTTTTCTTCTAGTCGACCACAGTAGATGATGACAATGAATATCAGTAGCTACTAAACTGAACTAATGGGGGCATGCAATTCCCTGGATGGACGGCCAATAGAGACCCCCCCTCCTGGCCGTGGCGCGCCCGAGATGGCAGCCTGCATTGAGAGGAAACAATTTTAGGATGTTTTCTTACCTAACAGGACACACCTAAAGCATATACCAAATTATAGTTGTATAAAACAGTTTTAGTATGTTTCACATTCTCTTGTCCTACTAGTCCATAGCTTTCCTCTGCCCCACATTGAGGGGCTCCATAAACAATCATCATCTGCTGCTAAATAACACTGATTTTAAAGGGAATCTCCAATATGCTCTGTTATAAGAGCTGCGCTGGTAGTTGTGGGGATATCTGCATTCTTTTTTATGTTTGTTCTCCTGGGTCAGGGAGGGACAACTAAAAAGGAATATTGCATTAACAATGAGGCTGCACTACCAAATGCTTGTCTAAAATGTCAACTAAAATACATGGTTAGCCAGACCTACTACTCTCTTGTGGTCGTCCATGGGCAGTACCAATGTTGTTGACAAGTCACCTTCTGAAAGGCTAGCTGAGAAGGCATAGCTGAATCTATTTGACGTCTTTCGTACACCCCTTTAGATTTTCTTCCCTTCTTTACAAATCACAACACGTCATCTTTGTGTAGTTTCAGAATTTCCTCCTAGGTAGGTTATGTCCTTATAGAAATTGCAGATTTGGAAAGCTAGCAAGTTCTTAACATGGATAAGACGGAAGTGGAATGTTATTTGTTCTCCATGATTATCCTGTACCATTTAATCATTCCATTTGTGGCAGGAGCCTATATTAGCCTAGTGCTCTAATATTTGTATTCCATATGCGCTTTCCCTACAGGTATGAAGGACAGCGCGACATGCTGTACAACCAAACTTATAATCTTGACCAAGTTGCTTTCGCATCGGAGGGAATTAAAGATGCTCAACAAACTGTATGCTGCCTTCTTACTATCAGGTTTAATGATAGATTCTAATTCTGGCTCTCAAACTTATGTTGAATTGTTTTTCATTCAACAGATGACTGCAATGAAAGCTGCCAATAAAGAGCTGAAAGGGATGATGAAGACTGTCAGGATTGAAGATATAGATGTATGCAGCATAACTGTTCATATTTTCAAGATCTTTAGCTTATTTTCTTTGAATTACATTTGAATCCGTACCTGCTTTCAAAATCTGCAGAGCATGCAAGACGAAATGATGGATCTTATGGATGTGAGCAATGAAATACAAGAAACTCTTGGTAGAAGCTACAATGTCCCGGATGACATCGATGAGGAGGAACTTATGGGGGGTATGGCTCTTATTCTGTAGTTGGCTATTCTCAGATAATTCAAAAGCTTACTTGGCCAACTAGTTTTCCTTGCAGTGGTTACCAGCTGGGAACCACTCTTCAGTAAAAGTTTTGTAGTTGAATTTGATTCAGTACACTCTCCATTTTATATTGGTCTTAGGTTTCATCTGAAACATTTTTTGGGCCCTTTTGTTGCGTCATGCATGTGTTAATTTACAGACAAGACGGTTCTTTGTTTGCTGTTCTCATTTTGTATGTTGGAAAATGCAGAGCTTGATGCTTTGGAAGCCGATATGGACTTTGAGTCGAATTCAGTCCCATCGTACCTCCAACCAGACAAGGAGACCGATCTTGATTCTGAGCTTAACCTACCTGCTGCACCAAGTGGTCATGCAGCAGTCCCGGCGAACCGGCAGCAGGTATGTCAATTGCAAGACTGACTAGTTCAGTTTCTGTTTCACATTGATTATGGTGCTGATATCCCTAGGAAGAAATCGGTGGTTCATGTCATTTCCCATGCAATCACAGTGTTTCGTTTTATCTTGTGACATGATCTAATTTGACAGGCTAGATGCTTGAGATCATTATGAATGTATTGCTGAACTCATAACTCTTGTATTTTGGGCTCAACTTTATGATGCATGCATATGTTGTTGGTATGAACAATTTGAGCTTATAATAGCTTGATCTTAATAGTAAAAGAAACACACAGAAGGAGAACATGCAAACCATTTTCATGCCAAACATGTGGTATGTGATGGATTTCATCATGAACTTCGAAGTCTCCATTGAACATCTCAGACGCCAGATACTTTAATTTTCTTGATTCCCCTTGATTGCAATGTCAACCCTTGTCAACCAGTAGACTAATTTACTCTGCTACCGTTGCTCTGTTGATGCAGGAGGATGAACTGGGACTGCCTACCGTGCCGCACGCATCAATTCGTACCTGAATGAAAGTAACAAAAAAGCTATGGTGTAGGTTTTGATCTCGTTGTAAATGGTCGGCACTTTGTTTATGCATGGACAAATTCATTGTATCTTGCATCATATACCACTGCAATTCGTTGAACGATGGAATGTCTCTTTCCCTTTGTGCTGGAACAATAGTGTGTGATAAAGGGAGTGTTCTCTATACGGTTGTACATCCTGTTGTTAGTATGTCTCTGCTGAGTTGAATTGGTATCTGCTTCTCTGATAATGAAATTATGGGACGTTGCTAGCTCTTTTTTACCTAGTACTGTTGTACTTTTCTTGGTTTTATGCACCTATATCCGCGTGTTCACATTCATTTGTTCCATTTATGCATCGAACACTTGATCACTGTGATCGTTCCTGCTTGGTATACTTTGATACTCAGAGAACAATAAAGTGGGATGACATGATAACGTGTCAGTTTTGGATTCCATTTTTTCACCTTCAGGTTCATGCGAGCAATCAGTAATAATAAGGAAAAGGACTACATACTTCTGCCCCACAACCCTCTGTAAGTCGTTTTGCTTAGTATATTGTGGTACTTCTCTTTTTCATGCACCTATCTCCATTGTGCTTACATTCATTTCATCCCGTTTATGCGATGTGATATTCTTTGATATCGATTCCCATATGGAATAAATAAAGCATGACTACATGGTACTGCACCAGTTTTGGATTTCATTTTTTTCTTCAACCTTTAGGTTATGAGAGCAATAATAGATAAAAAGAGACAAATATTAGGACGCATTTTAAGTACCCGGCAGACAACAGCCGAAAGAAAGTGTCACATGTGGATACTACGGTCTTTAACAAATATAAGCAACCCGCAATCCAAATTATATTTATGCATATAAATAAAAATCAGCAAGCGAACAAACAGAGAAATATCAAGAACACAGGACAAGACACACATTTTTACGTGGGAAACCCTTGAGGGAAAAACCACACGCACACAATGGTGAGCTTTGTTGTATCAGGAGAGTCTACAAATACATAGACTTACAATGAGTCGCCAACTCATCCTGTGTGGCATGGCATACAAGAGGTATATAGGTGGTGTATGAGTGACTTGAGTAAAAAATCGGAAACCTGAATCGGCCTCAGCTTTGACAGACCCTGGTTTCTCACTAGGATTCAGAACTTATATCAGCATGCATCCCTTGCTGTAATATAAGCGCGCTGAAAGGCACAGAACAAGAACTAGAAGATGGTCGCTGGATGAGTGTTTGGTATGCCTCCTGCATGGTTGGCCTTGCTTGGGGAGAAGATTCCAAACAAGATAAGGCCAACTTGATGAGCAGAGCTAAGTTATTCTCTTCTGTTGTTATTGGTGTTGTCGGCCGTTGGTCCAGAATATCTTTCACCATCATTGATTGTCCGCCGTTAGAAAGACTACCATCTAATAAATTCCTTGGATGCTTGCCCATCACTAGCTCTAACACAACCACCCCAAAGCTATAGACATCACATTTCTCTGTCGCAACAGATGTGTACGACAGTTCTGCACAAAAGCGTTGAAAACATTAGAATTAGGAACAAATGGATAGAGACGAATGCTTCTGATGTCAAAAACATGGTTATACTAGTACGTACCAGGAGCTATGTAGCCAAACGTTCCTGCTAGTGCACTCCAGTTTGACGAATCGGGCTTAAGAATCCTTGCCGTGCCGAAATCCGAGACAAAAGCCTTGAAGGATGTATCAAGTAAGATGTTGTTGCTTGTGATATCTCGATGGATTATAGGTGGACTGCATTCGTGGTGCAAATAAGATATTGCTTGAGCCACATCAGTTGCAAGAGCAATTCTCTTCTTCCAATCTAATTCCTTTGCTAGCTCCTGATTTTCTAATATTCCGTGGAGGCTTCCCTGCTGAATGTAGTCGTAGACTAGAAATTTATACACTGGATGGGAGCAGAATCCATACATTTTGACAATGCTTCGTTGTCGGATTTGCGTTAAGATTTCCATTTCACTACGAAATCTTCTTTCATCATCCAACTCTTCTTCGGTCTGATGAAGCTTCTTCACAGCAATCAGCTGCCCATCTTGGAGTTGGGCCTTGTAGACTTTCCCGTATCCTCCTGTTCCAGTGATGTACTTATCATCAAAGTCTTCTGTTGCTCTTAAAATATCGTCAAATGCCAATCTTCCATCAAAATTCCAAACAGAGAATAAGTCCCTTGCTTCAGCAATGACACCTTCTTGTGGTTTTCTCTTGTTATGCCGAAGCATTATTATGACAGCAATCGCAAAAACAATGTTGAAACCCACCACAAGAACAATTGGCAAAAGCAAACCAAGTGTCTTCCATTTGTGGTGACCATCTATTGGGCTTGAATAACAAGGTGGCAGGCCAAAGAGATTACCACACAGACCTTTATTGGGAAGAAACCAACTTGCTGAAGCATTTTGGAGTAGTCGTGTTGTTGGGATTGGTCCTTCCAAGACATTGTAGGACACATCAAGTGTTGAAAGGCTCACCATGCTTGCAAAGGAGGATGGAATGCTGCCAGCGAACTTATTATGTGATAAATTAAGAGATTCTAGCATCCCCAACTTCCCAAGTTGCTGCGGCAACGCACCACTAAGGTTATTGTTGCTCACATCTAACATGATCTGCAGGCCTACTAAATTTCCAATCGCACTAGGTAAACTCCCCCTAAAGTGGTTGTTGTTGATCTTCAAGTACTGTAGTTTCGTGCATGCCCCTAGTTCCTCAGGTATTAATCCACTCAGTTTATTTCCAGAAATATCAAGGTATCCTAGATTGCCCAACTTTTCTATCTGTGTAGGTATAGATCCAGATAGTTGGTTCGATGACATGTTCAGGCTATATAGATTGGTTAAAGTGCAGATTTCTGGTGGAACCTCACCACTGAGATGATTCGATTCGAGTCTTAGTACTACTAGGTTGGACAATTTAGAAAGGATTGGAGGTATGGAACCCGAGATCATATTGTTTCCTAGAGATAGTACTGTTAGCTGGGTACATTCACCTAGATTTGGTGAGATCTCCCCAGAGAGTCTATTCGATGACAAGCTCATTTTTATTAGTTGTGGATACACACCAAAATGCTGAGATATATCTCCTGTTAGTTGGTTCGACCCAAGCTCAATTCGAACCAAACTAGAACATTTGTTCAAACTCTTTGGAATGGGCCCATTGAACATATTGGAAAAGACAGTGAGGTATCGAAGTCTGCCACCTGAACATATATTTGCCGGTAAAGGCCCTGAAAGTGAATTGTTAGACAACCCAAGTTCAACAAGGTTTATGAGATTTCCAAATTCTAGAGGAAGAGAACCTGATAATTTGTTATCATAGATTTGCACTTCTTGTATGCTCTGCAGCTTCCCAAAAGTTTTTGGTATTGATCCGGAAATTTGGTTTTGATACAAGCCTAAATATTTGAGGTTCACTAGATTGCCAATTTCCTGCGGGATGGAACCGGTTATCTGATTTTCAAAGAGGGCGAGTTGGTTTAGCATAGTGAGGTTGCCTAGTTCTGGTGGTATTGAACCTGTGATTCGATTTTTATAGAGACGAAGTATATTGAGCATACTCAGGTTCCCTATTTCTGGGGGTATTGGACCTGTGATTTGATTTTCAGAGAGAGAAAGTACATTCATCTTAGTGAGATTGGTTATGGAGACTGGAATTAGACCTGAAAAATCATTTGAATTAAGTCCAAGATATAGCAAATGGACTAGTCTACCTAGTTCTTGGGGTATAGGCCCTGAAAGTTGATTACCGTGCAGGGACAAACCACGGAGCTGTGTCAGATTTCCAAGGGTTTTTGGTATCATGCAGCTTAAGGCGTTGTTGCTTAGATGTAGAATCTGTAGGTTGACAAGCCTTCCAATCTCCTCAGGAATGGGACCTGATACCATGTTTTGGTGAATGGCAAGATGAGTTAACATTGTTAAGTTACCCAGAGACGTAGGGATATGTCCCGTGAGTCTATTGGATGTAAGTTGAAGCACCCTGAGACTTTGCAGGCCAGCAATCTCATAAGGAATTTTCCCTGTGAGCTGGTTGTTGCCAAGATTAAGCACCGAAAGTGCTGACAAGGTGTTGATACTAGCAGGTAGTGCACCATGAAGACTGTTGTTCATAAGGTCAATATATGCGAGGAATGGAAGAGCCGAGAAATTGAGCTCACCAAGATGGCCATGGATGCCAGCATCTGGCAGGGAGATGTTTGTCACCACCCAGGGCGTGCGGCGGCCATGGCGGACAGCCGTGCACATGGTGCCCGTCCAGTTGCAGGGGCTAGTGTTTTCTTGCCAAGAGTTCATCTGAAGCGGTGGCCTCGCAAGTGTAGCTTTCCAGTGGAGGAGAGCCATGCGTTGAGACCTCATTGAGATCCCTCCATGGCGCGCTGCATATGCTTCTTGCAATGGAAGAAGGCATGCCACAAGCAGCAGGCTGAAGTAGAACAAATGCTCCATTTTGCTGCCTAGTTTTTGCATGTTTGGTTTGGCTGGGGGATGTGATTCAGTAAACTCTGCAAACTCTATTCATATTTAACTAGTGTTATGAGGTCCTGAGTGAACACACACCCCTCTTTGGCAACCTCTTGTTTTTCTCATGCCTGTTGTAAATGTCTTGGGAATTATGAAAGCAGACAGGGATACCTAGAAGGTACCTGTGTCGTAAGCCTACTTGTATCTTTCCCAATTCCCCTCCTTCTACAACTTATTTACTGTATGGACTTGAGTTAACATCACAGTAGAGTTCTGTGATTGGTTTCACAGTATTTCTTGTTTATTTGATCATGCAACGTGAAACTGCTTCTGTTATGGCAACTCGGTAAAGAAATTGCACAAATTTTGTCTTAAGCTATTCTTTAATTTTTTTTCTCCCTTTTCACTTCGAAATAGAACAAAACATTTAGCTCAAGGATAGTAGAAATTCCATGGACGGTAGAAGTAAAGGTCTCATCATTGAATTGTGGTCAATACAAATCCTGAACCGCATGTCGTGCTGGAAGTCATGTGTTTGATGGAAAAACGTGGCAGTCGCTGCAGCTTTTGTGGATTTCGAAGCCTGTACAACCCAAGCAGCATCTTCACCACACAATATAAAGCAAAAAATCTAGATGTCAGGTGGGTGTCAATTAATCCCGCAGAGAAACATACACAGGCACCTAACCTAGGGGCGTGTTTGGTTGCCGTGCGCTACAGTACCCGCATTGCATACACTTCTCCATCCAACCTGGCTATGCAAATGCATCATCTGCATGTTGTTTGGTTGTATGCATGCCCTCTTGCCTGCATGGGCAGAAAACCACACTGCGTGGTGTTTGGTTGACTGCATGTTAGTGGACAAACCCAAAGCATGGTGTTTGATTGTATGCAACGCCTGGTGTGTGGTAACCTCTTTGGCTAGTTGGTGACGTTACCAGCACACTTCGGCACAACCATGTAGCACACATCATAAGCACATCAGAGTATAAACAAAACATCAACTAGCATAATTCAGATATAAGCAGTACCACACTTCGTAACAGTTCAACGCATAAACCATAAACATGTTCAAAACAGACTCGATAGTATGCTGGAAAGAGGTGGCCCGGCCCTACTCCTTGGCGGCGAAGGCTTCGTCGTGCTTCCCGCACTTGTTCACGACCTCAATGCCATCGTCGTCGAACATGATGACCTTGAGGGTGTCGGGAGTGAGGAGCTTGAACGTCGCCATGTAGCCGATCTTGATCTGATGAACGGCTGCGTAGGTGGCCCAACCCTGATCCAGGGTCACCCTGCCGTTCATCAGCTTGACCGTCACCTTCCAGGAGCAACCGGTGTTGTTCCTGAGCTTGAACTCCGTCGGCACCCTAACGAAGTGCTTGGTGAAATCCAGGGGCATGGGGATGCACTCAAGCTTCGATGCAAGGATGACCTTGCAGAACTGAGTTGGGCCATCCTCCTGATGGTAGTGGTCGTAGTTGCGGTGCTTGTTCCTGGGGGGCTCCTCCATGCCCTCGTCATCGCCACCCTCAGGCGTCTTCGGGTCTTCCTCGGCGGTGGGCGGCAGCACAACCTCGTCGGGCATTGGGTGAAGGGGCTGCTTGCCCTTGTTGTCAAGGGCCGGGAGCACCTCCGTGCCCATCTCATTGCTCTCCTCGATCTGCACACAATTCATGGAGTCAAGCACAACACAGAATTCATGGCTAATTGAAGAGCATGTAGTTAAAACAACATGATTGTCACTCTTCTCCTCCTCTCCATCCCCCCTATATTTACTCACCCTGCCCACCACTACTTACCCACCCCCTCTCTTCTCTCACTGTCAACCTTCCTCCTCCCCATCGCCATGAGCTTTAGCTCCAGCTCCAACGCCAACCCCTTCCCTTGGGGTATTGGCTGGAGGGCCTTCTTCCTCGGGTGGTCGGCTGGTGACTGCACCCAGTTCGAGAACACCATGAAGGTGTGCTCGAACTTCGGCTCCATGCCGGACATGCAGAACGAATCTAATGCAGTGCTCATGAAGGCCACTAAAGAAGAGCTGAAGACGCTGATTCCTGACCCAGCGAAGGGTGCGATGGCAGTTGACATCATTCGCTGGGCCATGAACCAGGCCGTCTCCGACGACGCTAAACAGAGGAAGAAGTGGTGCAAGTACAAGACCTACTGGGATCCTAATGACCGCTGCGTCGCAGTGTACTGGGAGGCGGCTATCGCGCCGCCGGCAGTCATCGGTGGGGAGCCTAAGGAGGAGGAAGAAGAAGCGGTGCACATGTCGTAGCTGGCAGATCGACCTCGACTCCGCCGAGGACGACGACGACGACCCGCCGGCCCGCACGGCGATGAAGAAGAAGAAGAAGGCCAGCGGATCGACCAGCCGCTCCGCACGCCGGTGACGGCCTCCGCGGCCAGCCGGTGTCCGTTGTGTACCCCCTGTCCCCCAATCCCCCTTCTGCATTCCAATCTTGCATGTATGAACTCGTATGAATTGCTATGAACTAGTATGAGCTACCCCTATGCTTATCTACCTCTATTCCCCATTCCCCTCCGCCGTGGATCGAATCTATCACCGTGGATCGAATCTAGCATGCATGTCGAAGAGAGAGAAGTGCTTACCACCATTGATGGAGTCCGGTGGTCTTCTTCCTCTGCTCCGATCCGCCGCCGCCGGTGGTGGAGTCCGGTGGTCTTCTTCCTCTGCTCCGATCCGCCGCCGCCGGTGAGAGTTGGGAGTGGGGAGAGGGAGCAGTGAGGGGCGGTGAGGCTAATAACTGCCGGCGTTTCGGAAAGCAACACGGCTTCTCGAGCGTGGCTGCGCGCGTGCAGCCGCCGCCGTCCACGTGCACCGCTCGGGCCTGGCCTTGGAAAAACTGCCGATTCGTGCGTTTCCAGTGAGCCAGGCCTAGAGGTGCTTTAAGAAGCGTGCGATGCAGGCCCAATAGTGTACGCGGGCTATCAAACAGGCTGGATACTTCCCGCGCGGGCCTGGTCGAGGCTTATGCAGGTAACCAAACATGCCCTAGATGAAACAAGTCTTGTTGGAAGTCCACGGGAAAATGAGACAATTGTCTATTACGACAGACTATTGTGTCGGCTGATGAATTTTATGCAGAGAGATGTAGGTAGGCACTAACCTGTCAGTGTCAGCTGGAACAAGTTTTGTTGGAAGTCGTGTACCTATCCGCGGGAAAATGAGGCACTGGCTGCAATATTGGAATTCAAAGCAATAGTAGTACAAGAAGCAAGCAGCATCTTGACCACACAAACTCTAGAAAAATTCTAAACTCAGGTGGGTACTCGATCCGCCGAAAATTCTTCTAGTCTTCTACCATCACTTTCTGTATGCCTGCCTGCCTGCCTGCCTGCCCATGGTGGGCTCCCATTGTTGTCTACATGTTAGCTGCTGAATTCGACGATTTAACCCAGACTTGGTTGTGTCTGGTGTGAACTCGACGATTGTCCAGCGCATAATGTTAGCTGCTGAATTTGCTGCAGAGAGAAGTAGGCAGGTAGGTATTCCTAGCTGAGGGAAGCAAGCACCGGATTCCCAAGTCGGGGTCGACACGAGAGATCGGCAAGACCAATCAAAGCGTTGGCATTCCCAAGCTTGGGTTTCTCTGTTTCTTTGAGTTGATATGAATTG